GGGGGGTGGGCAGGTTTCCTTAGGTGTGCCGTGATCCCTTCCTCGTACCGAATTAATGTACAATTCTTCTTGTGAAGGAGTGTGATTCGTTTTATTTAGTTTCGTTAAATGTCTATGATTGGTTGGTCGATTGACTGATTGATTGATGATTGATTTGAGTTGTGACTGATTTGTTTGAGTGGATTAGTTATCCTTTTCGTTGGAGACCAGAGACGTATTTTTGAGCTCGGCATGGCTGAAGGTTTGGATGGTTCTTTGATGTGACTCTGCCATTTCACACTTGGACTTGTCCTATATGTTTGCTCCGTTCTTCCATGTGGTTGCCGATTGTGCAAATCCTAGTCAGGGCTGTCTTTTCCTTTCACCTTTCTTAAGGCAAGCTTTTGCCCTTCCCGCAGCGATGTAGTCTGAATGGTCGTTCGTCGATGATGACGGTTGTGGAAGATAGCCAGCACTGATTGATTGTATGGTTTGTGGATTTTGTACATATTTCTGACTCTGAAGTCAATCGAAGGTTGATGAGCCCATCTGTCGGTCGCCACGGGACTGAAACACTGCTGCGGGCACCCTGTTGCTTTTTCCGTCGGGCATTGCATCTGTTTGTCGATGTTATGATCTCATCTCGAGCTTGCGGGAAACTAAGCTGGCTTACCTGACTGGCCAGGCTCAGGTGGTACCCCCATGAACTATGGAGATACACAGACCTGAGTTAGAATTCGAGTGGGAGCCAGATGGGTGCAAAGATGATTTCTCGAGGCCGTCCCTTTCAAAAAACTCTTTCAAAAAACTTGAAAAGGAATCTAGGCTGGCTTGTGTGAAACACCACGTCTGTCTGGAGTTCTTTTCTGGCATATTCTTTGGTCGGTCATGAGATGTGCGTACACCTGCAGGTAAGGCATTGACTGATGGCTGCTTGATGTATGATGTTGGCACGTCATGAGATCTGTAGACACCCGTGTGGAAGGCATTGACTGATGGCTGCTTGCAGTATGATGTTGGTGCCTTGAATTTTTTGCGACGGCCTGTGTTAAAGGGTAGAGCCACAATGCGGCACGGCCCTAGCGGAGTCTTTGCTTGTGACGGAACTGTTATCTGTGGCTAGACATTCTGACTGATGATGTCTTGGAGTTGTATGTATGGTTAGAGACATACGGTTGAAGATGTCTTGCAGTTTTTTTTTCTAGCAGCATAAATTCCTTCTGGTGGAGGTGGTGGTGGAAAGCAAGGATTGAAACGGCGTTGTGAAGGTTGAAAGGGAGATGTTCTGGTCCATCGAGCGGAGTATGGAGTCGGTGGCAGATGGGCTCACTAAAGAGAGAGGAGGGAAGGAAGACGCTGCGTCAGTTTGCTGGCATTTGGCACGAATGTTGCGTGCGCACTGCACATACGCATGCACAAACGGATGTGGAATATGAAACGGGATGCAGTAAGGGCATGCATAGCCTGCCGGTTTTCTGTAGAGATGGTTGCTGTGGATGGGCGTTCTGTTGCTGGTGCATTGTGCAAGGACCACCTGAGCGAAATGGAAGGTGTGCTTTGCTATGGGTGATGTTTATGTTATGTTCGTGTACAGTGAGTGGAAGGTGCGAGAGAATGTCTAAAACAGGGAGAATGTGTCTGCGTGCTTGCGCTCGTCTTCATGTGTGTGTTGATATATATATATATATATATATAGAGAGAGAGAGAGAGAGAGAGAGAGAGAGAGAGAGAGAGAGAGAGAGAGAGAGAGAGAGAGAGAGAGAGAGAGAGAGAATTTTGCTAGTTATTAGTTTCTCCGTCTTTGGACCATGACAGAGCTGGACCCACTCTGTGCTTCATTTCTATTGCTGGCGCAGCTGAGTAGAACGGAATGACATGTGGTTGACTTTGCGCATTGCCAACTGCATGTTGTTGAGAAGGCAAAAGTTGTGGATGTTAGGACCGACTTGGAAGGTGGATATACCGTACGCTACGGATGCGGAGGCGGAAATATAGGTGGGGATACACGGGGCTGGAGTAGTTTATGGGAATTGAACAGGCAACAATGTTCTGTTCTGGTGGGGCATAGTAAAGGTATGTATTCGTAGCCTCTAGAGACAGTGGTGCTGGTCACATGGTAGTGAGCTTACCCTTATGTAGTGTTGTGGGTAATGGACGAGTATTGGGAATGCGAGTTTCGGAAGTATTCGTAGCCGAATGATAATAATTGTTTTGGTCACATATTTGTAGCCTGATGATAATGGAGTTGGTCGCATTGTAAATGAGAGCCGAAGTTTTAGAACTGATACGATGTTGAACCAGTCTGCAGACGGCTGCAGGGGTCATCGAAACCAGCGCATGGTTTGGTGTGTACCCTAACTTGAGAGACGCTATCGAGACTGAAACTCCCGTATTGTTCCGGACACGAGCGAGTAGATGTGATTAAAGCAACCTACCTAATTGAGTATATGCCCATCCTAAACACACCCTCACAGTCTGACCACGGGGCTGAGCGAATGGTACTCATGACCTGCTGCTGACGAGCCCACACGATTTCGAATCCTGAAGGGATCAGATGAATTTAATAAAGCTTGAATTGGCTGGGTCCGGTCAGCTTCGTGATGATACATGGAGGCCATCCATCGCCTTTTTTGAAAAAAATAAAAGCAGGTAAAGGCCCCTGCTGGGCCCCCCCACCGGCGATATGAAATAAGAGAAGAAACAGAAAACGAAATGAAAGTGTGAGTCGACTTGTTGTTAAAACCGGAACGATACAGTGAAGATTAGCATGGGCTCTGTGGAGGTGCATGCACGATTAGCATGGCCCCCGTGCAGGCGCGTGGGTGACGCGGACAAACGGAGAAGTAGACCAGAACCTGGCGCACACTGAATAGGCTGTCGGATGTGGGAGGGCGAGGTTGACCTGTCGAAATCAGTGGTGGGGGAGTGGATGAGAGGGAGGGGAGGATTGTCTACGAAACTGTACACAGAGGCCATCCATCCCAAGTTGCTAATTAGTCGTTTGGGTCGGAAGTATAATTTGAGAACTGCTGCAGTCGAGGTTGTGTCGACGGATTGATTCTACGATGGACATGGAATGAACAACCGCTGCTTTCTGCGGTCGCCGCTGGACAGGCGAAATCAGAAATAAGGTATAATTCAAAAACTGGTGTAGTCGAGGTTGTGTTGACGGATCCATTCTAGAATGGACATGGAATGAACAACCGTTGCTCGCTGCAGTCGCTGCTTTACTAGTGAAATCAGAAATCAGAAAATCAGATTACTCGATCAGCAATTCATCAAGGCAGTAACGAAGAAGAAATACAACAGTGGAGTGGAGTGGAGTGGAGTGAGCCCAATGAGACAGAAGGAAGTCCCATTTTGCTCCACTACTCTGCAAGTGTGTACGAAAAAGAAAGTATGGTGTATATTTTTATGATGATGATCTAGCGGAAGATAGTCTCATTTTGTTTGTACATTTGGAGTGGAGTGGAGTGAGCCCCAATGAGACAGAAGGAAGGAAGGCATCGAAGAAAGGTCAAGAAGAAGAAGACAGGAAAGAGAGGAGAAGGAAAAGAATAGGCGAGGATCTAGTTCAGACATACTCTTGTGGTCCGGAATGGGATGTGGTGTGGTAGTTATGCAAAAGGTGCTAGGCCTGGCAGCAAATAAGTGTCTCCCAGCAGCAGAAGGTGATGCCATGCAGGAATAGTGCTGTAGCATGGACCATTGTCTAGCAGCCGGCCGTGTCTGTCTGAAGGGACCTTGCATGTGTGAGCTGGTCGCTATCCTAGCTCGGTGAAATACCGTGTTCTTGCAGTCGAAGTGAATGAAGAAGGGGGGATGCTATCACCCCCATGAAACACGTAAATGTGTAATTGATCCGCTATATGGGAGTGCATTGACTTTAGGGTCGGGTCCCCCAGTGTTTTTG